AATATAATACGTAATGAATCCAGCATTACCCTTCAATTCAATGAATTCATTTATCAGGACAGACAGAAATGACAAAAATATAATTCTAATGTGAAAGGATGGAGTACAATAGGAATATCATCGCTTAATCGGACGCTTGGGATTGCGTTCGTTTTCCACACGTTTTAAAAGTAATTCGGTGAATTAAATGCATGGTGAATGTGCTCTTCAATCCTGGAAAACGATGAATCATGTCTCACCTCATCGACGTCCTCGGCTCTGATTCCAGCTGGTTTCATCGAAAGAACCGTTCCACTTCCGTAGCGACCTTCTGGCATCAGGGATTTGTAGAGTGGATATGGGAATGTTGGAGCGTGATTCGATGATTGTTTCGAAGATGATGGAGTGGGTAGAGGTACGATCCCTGAACTGCTTTGCTTTACCGTTCTGGAGTCGATATCGTTTGATGTTGTAAGGCTCTGTGTGGGTTTCAGGACACTAGAAGGAGTACTGTCAAGATTTTCCTCTTCGGTCACTCGGTTATCAACTGACGGCTGAATTTCAGATGTAACAGGCGATTCCAAGGAACTCACTGTAGATGCCTGAATTGCATATTTATTGAGGAATTACAAGGCAAAATTCGCATGCCAACAAAAAGTCCATCAATCGAACTCACCTTATCAACATGTGACAAATCTTCCGTTGATGATGGACTAGCGACCGTTGGATAAGCTATCAAAACGACCACTTCGGCTTCAGTCGATTTTCCTTCACCGTTCCGGTCTGTTGCAACCACCTGCAAATAAGTGATCACTATCATATCAACATTCGGCATGGATACCACTGCCGTTCTACCGAACAGATCAATAAACACTGCAGTGCCCTTTCTATCAACGATGAATGAACTCAACATTATCGTATAGCATATTGCGACTAATCAATTTTTTAAAAATTTGACAAATCGGCTATTTCAAATCAATTCATCAGATGCACTCCAGAGAATTTATGCTGATGTGCTTCATCGTGATCACAAAAATACGAGGATCGGTAAATAAGATATGTATTTGCAAACGAAATGAAGCACACTGTCGAATTTCCATAGGAACTGTCCGCTGATTGTAAATATTTAACTAAAGTTCACCTTGAACGTATAATTTGTCTTCGGCGCAGAGTTAGCGAGATCACAGTTGAATGTTAATGAACCGCGTTCTGAATCAATAGCGAAACAGTTAGCATCCTTTCCTTTTAATGAGTAACGAATTTTTGCGTTTTCGCCATGGTCACCGTCACGAACAATTATTCTCTGTAATAAGTTGAAAGCTCATTAGAAGATATGCTATATGCCGAAATGATCACAGAACGAAAGTTTTCATTTCAAAAGTATTACTGCGAGAATGCACTTCTCAAACATTCGATACTGATTGCAAATCCAGATAGTTTATTCACTACTCTATAGTCTATTACAATACACTATTCTATAATTTTTCTCCGAAATCAATGGAAATCAGATCCATTCAGAAAAAACCTAATGAGTAAATGATTGATTTTCAATTTAGAATGAGGCTGTGACTCACCAATGGAACTGGGTATGGTATGACGGCATCTGAGGGAAGTATAACTGAGTAATCGTTCTGATTGAATACTGGTGCATGATCGTTGGTGTCGATCAGAGTGACGATAACATTCGCAAATGCTGTTAATGGCGGTACTCCTGTATCGGTGGCTAATACCAAAAATGTATAGCGTTCGTATTCCATCGAATAGTTGAGCGCTTTTTTCACCGACAATTTTCCACTCTGAAAGCGCAAATTTTCTTGTTTCATTGATTTTAGCGAACTCGTTTTCGCAGCAAACATCTAAGGATTCAAGTGCATCCAGGGGCCACTAGAATATTTAACAGTATGGAAACGCTCTGTATCTGGCAGAGCGTTTCCATATATTAATTAAGCTCAAAAACAGCAAAAGTGTACATAGTTTTTTGCTCATAAACTAATGGTTGTTCATTAGAACATTTTTGCTTTCGAGAGGATTTCGAAGTCTAGTATTGGGAATGTCTTTTGAAGGTATTATTCTTGTGGAAAAGATAAATCAACAAACCTTCGGATCTATTGCAAAAAAACTTCTGTATGATTTGGGCTCAATGCTTAGAGTGATTTCATCATTATCTGCATCGGTAAATTGCACCTCTCCAATCGCACCAACAAAACCCTCGTTGACAAAAAATTCATACGTATCATTCGTCGGAATTGGTGCATCATTGAGACTTGCGTGGGTAACGCTGAAACTTTGTGAAACATTGACTTTCGTGGAACTTTTTACTGGTAAATTATGCCTCTAGCAAACTGTCAAGTGTTCACAATTTGCGTGAATGTCGCGATTGATGAGTTTGATTCCGCACTCAAATTCCTTGTA